TAAAGAAAATCGCTATAAGGTAATATGGAAATAATACAGTAGTGCCTCGCACAGCGAGGTTAATCCGTTCTGGATTAACCCTCGCTGTGTGAAAGCATCGTTGAACGGGGCAGGAAAAGCCATTGGGCTGAATACTCACCGTTCAGCGATGGTTCCCTATGGCCAGCAGCCATTTTTGCGCCCTCCCCTCACTTAACGAGGGTGCGAAAACGCTGCGCGTGGCCATTTTGGGGCTTCCGGCGGCCATTTTGTAGCCTCCGAACAGCTGATCGGCGGGTCGCAAAGCGAAGGTTTCACCCTATGCAGGCACCGTTTTGAGATCGCATTCATTGCTCTACGAGGCGCCCGTTGTGCAAGGCACCACTGTATTTAACACTGGTTAAGCTAAATATATTAAATAAAACATTTCATCTCTTTTCTGGAGGCATAGGAAAGAGAGAGATGTATTTGCATATGTAGTGGTCTTGTGACATAAGAATGGAAGAATGGAGGATGAATTTAAAGGAAATAAGGGACATTCTATCTATCTATCTATCATCTATCTATTTATTTATTTATATGCTGCCCATTCTACCCAGAGGTCTCTGGGCAGCTAAACATGTAAAGAGAAAAGAAAAGGTAATTACCATAATGGTAACTTTGACAAGATTAATAATTGCAAAGAATTAGAAAAGTGAAAAACAGATTAATATGGACGTATAGTACAGAGAAATGTGGAATATGGCAATTAATGACAAACTGACTTGTGACATGAAAAGCAGAAGAGGTGTATCCCAAAATAATGACTTTAGAGAAATATGGAATGCACTTCTGGAGCTAAAGGTAAGGAGTATACACCAAAAGAAGAACTGATGTATTTCTGAAGAGATATGGGGAGGTATGAATGATAAAGTCAAGGACTGGAATCTAGTCCTGAAGGGAAGAATGGCACTGGGTTAAGAAAATGTATAAAGACTGATATTCTACAAGAAAAATGGATTTAATGGAAGTGAAAACTTTATTTTATTGTTTATTGCCTTTGTTGTTTGATATATAAATAATTTTAAATATATATATTATATGCAAAATGAGTAGTACCTAAAAAAAAACCTGTATTTAATTTTTAGCATACACACATGGCACATGCATGCACAGACTACTGTGCCAATGGAATGAGTTTTTCTGCTCCTCTGGCAGAGGTCCATTTATTTTGAGGCCCATGTGGAATTGATTCCACAAATGTGAACACTGCTGCCACTTAAAAAAAATCCTGCTATCTGATACAGCGCTATACCAGATAGCAAAAAAACCTGTATTTAATTTTTAGCATACACACATGGCACATGCATGCACAGACTACTGTGCCAATGGAATGAGTTTTTCTGCTCCTCTGGCAGAGGTCCATTTATTTTGAGGCCCATGTGGAATTGATTCCACAAATGTGAACACTGCTGCCACTTAAAAAAAATCCTGCTATCTGATACAGCGCTATACCAGATAGCAGAAATATTAAAAAAATTAAAGCACCATGCTTGTAAAAAGCTGGCACCTGTCCAATCACCCCATCCTGACTCATCACCTACCTGATCACCCCATCACCTGACCACCGCCATTGTCTGCCTCATCACTCCCGACTGCCCAACTACCCGCCTGACAAACCCCCATTGCCTGCCTGATCACCCTCCACCTCCCCCCTCACCTGCCCCTTTGCCTGCCCGATTGCCCCCACCTACCCCTTCGGCCCTCACCTGCCCCACTGCCTGCCTGATCACATTGTTTGTCCAGCACCTGCGACTGACCTTGTTTGACAGGTAGTGGTGGCCGCAGCACAGTCTGAAGACACACACCGACACAAAACTTTTGAATTGGGGCTAAGCCCATGTGGTTTTAGCTCAAATTCAAAACACTCTGTCCCTCTGCTGGCTTATTCTGACAGTGGAAACAGGCTGTCTATTCCCTTCACTGAGCCCCCAGCTTGATTGGTAGGTTCTGTTCATCTGCTGAAGCTCTTTGCCCTCAAGGTTGTTCCCTGGAGTGAGAGGCAATATGCCCACACTGATGGCAGGAATGGTGGTATTCTCTGTTCAGCACCTTGGATCCCTTTGCTTCCTGGGGTTGATGGTCACACGGTCTCATTCTCTGCCAGCGTCTGTTGGTGGGGGAGGGAGTGGAATCACCTTCTTTCCTCTGTTCCTCTTTTCTTTTCAACCCCCCTCTTCCCAGTAGGAAAGTTTTGGGGGCAGCCTGTATTCATATTTGGAGGCCTCTCCTAAACTGGATGCAAAAACTCACCACCAGGGATCCTAGATGTAGTTCCAGTTTTTCAGAACCTCCTCTTCTAGGGAGTCCTTGCCCCAGTAATTGCTGGACCACTCTTTTTGAGTGTCTCCCCAGTCCTTCTCTCCTGGGGGATCCAATGTTTCCTCGTAACCCTTCTGTTTCCTGAGCCTTTCCAGGTTGGACATGAGCCTCCTGGGTAAGAAGGTAGGTTACCTTCTCTGACATGTCTCTTTCTTTCTGAAAGGGTTCCTCCTTCCCTCTTGCTCTGTCGCCTATCACCCCTTCTGATGTCAGGGTCTCTGCTTTTGTCTGGCATCAGGACTTCTGCCTGCCCCAGGTAATCTCCCTGGCGGCCTGCTTTTGTACAGCTTCTCCCGTTACTTCCTGCTGCATTTCTGCTTCTCCTGGTGGCAACCTCCTGTTATATCTCTCATCTGCGAGGGGTCCACCAATTCCCTAGGGATTGTCCCTCTACTCTTACGACTAATAGAACCATTGTGGCCTCCGTTTGTATTCCGGCATCTCAGCATGGGCAGCCATGGTGCCTTGCAAATGTTTGGCAACCACCTTCAATCTTCCTTAGAAGCAAGGGCTTAAACATTTGAAGCTTTTGTAGTTCATGGGGAAAGGCAGACTAAGAAACAAATGGCGGAGGTGTCTTAATGCACTTACACATCGCATAGAGGAACTGAATGGAATGTTTTCTTGTATTGTTGGGACTTGGAATCCCTGGAGGAAAATGGTTTGTAGTGAATACCGGAAAGATGACAGTACATCTGCACACCATACATGATTAAACAAGGGAACTCACTGTTACAAGATGTGGCAAAAGCTGCTGTCCTACAAATATTAAATGGAGATTAGACAAAAGTACAGGAGAGTCATAGCAGCTACCTTAATGGAAGCTCCAACTTCTGAAAAGAGTATGCCACTAGATAACAGTTGTTTAGCAGGGCAGACACAGAAGTGGCAGACAATGTGCTTTGTGTACAGAAAACTTCAGGCTCAACCACTCACGTCTCATGTCAAAATGATTTCATTCAGCAGGTTGTTTGTATGGGAGATGCTGGAGTGGACCAGCAGGTTTAGATCAATCCATAGCTTCTCTCAGTAGCAAGGAAGTTCAAGTGAAAGTAAGACTGCCCACTTCATTTTTTCTAATAGCTCTTCTGCTGAGTAGGAAGGAAGTGGGAGACAAAAGGTGGCAACGGTGTAGGCTAGTCTTAACAAGCCAGGCAAGCATCATTACACGAGTTCTTCTTTTTGGTGTGGAAGTGAGCCAGAATAATAAAACTCTCATAAAAATGTCAAAATGATAAATGATAAAGCATGGGCTTTTTATGACTACAGCCTGTAATGAATTGGAAAATAAGCTGTAATAAAGAGCCTTCACTTTTACTTAAAACTCTCCCTCAGCTTGCCTTAATAAGAAAATAAATGAGGGAAATGTCCTCAGTAAAAAGGGAACCCAGGAGATTATATACTTTGGGTGTCTACATCTGCTTGTCAATAGGCCAATACTGAATATAATTCTTTTAAAAAGCTAGAACGGCAGGTGAAATGTTGTATAAATCTATCATCATGTGTTGTAACATTTCACTTACGTTTTTAAAGTAAATAGCTCAAAGCCAGTGTCTTTCCTAAAATGTTATTTATTGCTTGCCACTTCTACGGCAGGAAGAGCTTCGAAAACATTCCTTTCAATACCTGTGTTCAAGCGAGCTGAAAGCCTACACAGCTAGTGCAAAAGAAAGGTGGGTTTCTGGCTTGGCGGGCTTTCTCCTTCATCCCTCCAGGATAAAGGCTCTGAAGTGCCCAGCACAGGCCAGGATGCCACAGACTTACGTTGCCAAAGGGAAAACAAGCTTCAGGGGCCTACTTTTTCTCCTCAATAATTACTAAACTGGCAGGTCCTGAAGACATGGATTCTTTTGCTGCTTTAACAGATGTCAGGCAATATACTGTTTCAAAAGGTCCTTAATGGATTCCAGGCAAAAGCATATTAATCAGAACACTGATGTCAAATAGAAGTTTCTTTCTTACTTACTGCTATAGACATTCCTCCTTACTGTTTGCAAAGTTTTAAAATACTCTTAATTCAAATCAACCAGGGCTCAATCTCTGACCATTTATGGTATGCGGAGTATCACCCACTGGTGAAAGAGTCTAGTCAGGTTATTGCTGTGTATTGTGGTGCTTATGATAAAATGATGCACTTCTTGCCTCAGTTTATTTGCTGTAATTTACCATGACTTTGTGTACCACAAACGATATGGTAATTGGCACAGAAATGGACTCTTACAGTAATCTTTCCCAGATGCAAATTTTCATATTGCCAAATTTTGCTTTTGTCGTTGGTAACATGTGCTGATATGTGAATGCTGATGAAATGGTTGTGGGTCTCTCCTCACGCACAACAAAAGGTTATGTCAGGACAGGGTAGGGCAGTCAAGCCAACACTTTAAGAGTGAATCAGTGGCTGTGAAAAAAGAGCAAAGTTGCACTAAAAAACAGCACCGGAAAAGTAGGAATGGAACTGAGGTTGTGCGAAAAAGCAGACTGATCAGAATCTCACACTGCTACAACTGGACAGAAACTAGAATGAAGTGGAAGAAATTGCTTCAGATAGGGAGAATCATATGCAACAAAAATATACTTCCGGATTCTCCCCCCCCCCCTTTTTAATAAACAGATAACACTTATGTTTGTTTTCTTGAACATCATATTACTGCACAACTTGATTAAAGATTTCACACTTTTTTAATTTGCATTTTTTGATAAAGCTTTCACCTTGACAAGGCTGAAAAGTACAAGATTGTCAAAACAAAATGGAGAGATATCACAAACACAAATATTTGACACCAAATTCAGTTTTACAAACAAACCATATTGACAAGCAATTTATGTTTGAAGCTTGACCACCTTTAACCTGAAGGTTAGGGCTAAACAGGTAACATTTCTGTGTAGCTCATTATGCTACATCCACTGGAAATGCTGGTTGCTTATGGCAGACATGTTGACAAGCAATATCTTTCACATATATTAAAAGACATGAAGTCACATTATTTTGCCATGTATTGTCTCTCCAGGACAGTGGAAGACAAAACTTGGCACAATATGCTATGCTGAAACATAGTGTACCATTGTAAATAAGAACAAGAACAATGAATATTGTGGCTACGTTTCTTGTTCCCTGTCCTGGAGGATCTGTGAATCCCTGAAAGCAACCTGCATCTCAAAAAGCCTCAAGAATATGCACGAATGCAGTCCATAGACCTTCATGATATACACAGTGAAATCTTAACCAAGATATTCAATTTAATTCAATAAGATGTACTCTCCATTTTTCTGCTTCAGGACTGGAATACAAGCCTCCATCCCATAAAAGAAGTCAAACTCACTCAATATTTATAAACATGCTTACCTTTCAGAAAGGTCTACTGAATACTGGGACTTCTTTCTGAGTAATAATACAGAGGATCAGGCTCACAAGATGTATTCACTATCTCAGCTGGCACACAGAGAATTTGCTACCCATGGCTTTCTATATAAGAAACCAAGGATAAATTTTGCACTGAATGGCACTGGATGTTCCTGGTACTTCCACATTTCTACCAGGTTTTCTGGGAGAAAGTGGCCTTCCTCACACTAAACAGAAGCTATTTCTGTCACAAAACCTTGATGGACTTAGTGTTAAAATGGAATCATTAAAGCAGGCAACTGTATTCCATGTGTAAGGGAAATGTTTTGCAAGACAGCTGTGGCATTTTAGCAGAAGAAAACATGTACAAAGTACAGTTCTCACTGTGTTAACCTGAGAGATACAAGTACAATTTACACTACTGGCAGGGCCACTAAACACGACAAATTACAGTCATGGTTTCAGCTCGATTATATAATTTCTTAGGTTTTGTGGGAAACTTGCTAAATTCCCAGTGGGAACTACTGCTTTGTTGTCTATATAACATCCTCAATGCCAGTCTCAAAAGACTGTAAATCTCCTCCGCCCCTATTGAAGTCAATATGTGTGGGTGGTGGATGGTAGGTTTGCCAATGAATGGTAAGGCTGAATTGTGCTTCAAGATACAGGTGTCCATATCAAAACTATCGAACTTAGATACCAAAGGATCCAGAGGCCAAAATCCTGTCACGCAACTCATTCTTGTGCCTGTGGTAGCTGCAGAACTGCTGAGGTGGCAGTGTGATTCCAGAGGCACTTCTGTTGGTGCACGGCTCTGGCACAGACAGAATACTGGCCAAGAGGGTCAATTGATCGTTTGAGGGGTTAAGCATGAGGAGGGCTATGGTAAAGTATGGAGGCATGGACAAGGCCATGTGTGAACCTCAAAGTTTAATTGTGCGATCCCATTTTCATCTGTGTTCCATATATAACTATGACAAGCTTTGAAACATTATTTAAATTATTTTTAACATTTATTTCTCCAAACTCCAACCAGTCAACAATAACACCAATCCTCATTTCTCAGTAATTCTAACACTTCTCTTTCTCTTTTTGTAACCTCATCTCTAAACCATAAAGCACAGACATATCTCCACCCTCCTGTCTCCAGTGTCAGTTGGAATGATGGAATAGCTGCTTACAGGCCAGGCTCACAGAAAAACTGGCTCAACAGTGAAACTCCTACTCTTACGTTCCATGGAATGGTACATCCAGCCTGTAGCAGTTAGCAGGAGTTCATCAGTGGATGATTTCAGCACAACCCCTAACCCACTCCCCTTGTTGCTCTTTCAGTTCTTAGGAGATGAGTTGCAAAGGTGAACTTTGTGGCAGAAAAGAACACCGTGATCTCTCTCTCCCTCTCTCTGTGAAAAAAAAGGGAAGTCATCTTCCAGGGAAAGCCCGACACAAAAGGCTCCCATGGATTTATCAGGGGAGAGGGAAGGCAACAACTCTGTTGCTATGAGAGGGGAAAGGGGAAGGGCACAAGCTCGACGTGTGTGGATATTGCTGAATCTTGGCATAGTTTTCCTTTAGTTAAAACCAACGACTTCAAATGTGCACCACTTGTAGAATTAGATAATAAGAAAAAACAGAATCACTAAGGATTTTTTTAAAGTCACAACATGGTATGGATCTGAACAGCAGGGGAAGGTTCGTCATATCACTAGTGACATCAAGAGGCCTGTGGCACTTTTGGAACCATTTTTTTTTAAAAAAACAGGGCTTACTCCTGAACCTCTAATGGAAGAAATCGTATTTCCCCAGCAACACGATATTGATGTACAATTGACAGCGTGAGCTGACAGTGGTGCAAGTTGACAGCTGTTTGCATTACCTGAATAAGCCTTATATGTGTCACATATGTGTACAAAGTAAAGTACTAAGCTTAGTTATTTGATAGTTGACAGTTTCATGAAAAAAATTATTGAGCACCATCTAATATATTACCTCACCAAACAACCCATTCACCCTGGCACTGCCAGATTGAACCATAGTGCTGTTTTGCTTAAAGGCCCTTGGATTTTGCATGGTTGAATATCTATGGTTTCTTTTGTACAAGGAACAAGGCTTGAAGAATAAACTGTCTTGAGGGCAAAAACAGAAAAGAACACAAGAGAGTCATCTAGAAAAAGAAACCTAGTAAGTACCTATTGTAACAATCCATACAAATATATGACATTCAAGATGCTAAATAAAATACTATTTAAAGCTACATTTCTCATATTTAAGAGCATGGCATCTATAGTAACCTGGAAAAATCTTTTCTTTCCTGACCAAAATATGTATAGAAATGCCTGTTTTTGAGGAAAATATCATACATTTTTCTTTCTTTTTGTTTTAACAAAATAAATTAAATATACACGTCTTCTGTTTAAACTCTATATAGAATTAAAAAGGTTTAGTTCTTTGACTGAATTCACTTTTAGTCCACTTGGATATTTAATATGGTCCAGTTTCACTAATTTCCCCCATCCCCTGCAATCAAAACTGAATTGAAATGAGATTGTATGAATCAACAAACACACCCCCCCTCCCCCTCCCCATGCCCACAAGTGCATCTTCAGCAAATTCATTATTCCCTGGTCACAGACTGTTTAAAAACATTTTAAAATCTGCTTTGTGATACTACGTCAGCTCGTACATTTGCCATTACAACCCAAGGAAATCTGATCACTAGCATTTAAGGGCAGTACAATGAGTATGCTTGGAAAAAAAAAATCAGCAGTTCAATTATTATCATCATCAATATTATAATTAAATATAAATATAAAAGTGAGATGTATAATGTCCTTCTTTTTTGTGGTAGTTGGGGGAAGGGGAGCTAAGCCCTTTTAAGGTTTACAGGAAGGCCCTCTGGTGAAAGAGGAGCACCCATTTATGACTAGCTTGGTTATTGCTAAGCATCAGGCAGCATTACGAAATATATATATAAATCATATGCCATCAAGTCAATTCTGACTTATGGTGACCCTTTTCAGGGTTTTCCAGGAACATATATGTGTGTGTGTGTGTGTTTCCTGGAAACTGTCACAATGTTGTTTGTCCTCTTTGTAAGGCCACTTAAATGCTTCTGTGTCTGGTGTTGCTTTGGTACTGGGCCTCTGGTACTTTCGTGCCTTCACTCCTTCTGAAGGAAAAGGGCCTTTTGTGCGCGTTCCAGAGGAAGAAGTCCTGGGAGCCTTGGATTTCCGCAGGTGGCTAAAGAGCAGAAGCAGCAATAGAAAAAGGGAAGGCGAACAGACTTTGGCTTCCTCTCCCTTCCTTAGCCAGCCTTTTTGTTTTGTTGTTGTTTTGCTTTTTTTTGGTTTCTAAGGGTACAAGTAGGTGCCTCTGCCCTTTGGGAATTCCTTCATTATTCCTTGTCACAGTAACAATAAACAACACACACACACAAAAAATCTCACTCCGCATTTGTCTCCTTCCCCCCCCCTTTTGGTTTGATTTTAATTTGGCTCCTCCCTCCCACCAACCCCCAACACACACCTTGGCAGTATAGGCTGATTCAAAGTTAGTACCGTAAGATAAGCACCGCGCATGGCTGCTGTTTTAGCACTGGTAGTGAATGTGCTGGTGCTGGTGGACTTTGCCTTCCACGTGTGAGTGAGTGTGAGTATGGATGTCTGTGTAAATCTTTGGGTACATTTTGGAAGCCATGTTTGGGGCCAGGGCTGACCCTTGGCCTAGCAAGTGCTGCTGCTGCTGTTGTGCAACGTATTCCTCATAGTTGATGGAGGAGATGCAGTCTTTGTCCGGGACCGGAGGCACACAGGCCCGGTCTCGAGGATGTGGCCGGTGGATGGGAGCTGCTGCTGGAGGAGAGCACGGCTTCTTCTTGGTTTGGCAGAGCCACAGAAGGATGGTTCCAAAGATGAAGACGGCCCCAGCGGGGATCCCAATGATCACGGGCCACGGGAGGTTGCTAGCAGACGAGGGAGCCACAGGTTGGCTGGGTGGCTTGGGATCTGGAAAGTAGATGGCAGGAGACACAGGAAAAGAAAGCAAAAAAAAAAAAAGTTAATTAAAGGCAGATTTGGGAGACTGAGATGAGGTTGAAGTTTTGCATTTGGCATCTTGGTTGCTTGCTGGCTTTATTTTAGACAGTTCTGTGGATAGCTAGCAACTGGTAGGGCTGCCAGCAGGACACCTCCCACTCTGACCAGCAAGCGAGAAACCTGAACTTGAATTATCTGACCTGCTCATACAGCAACTCAGCCTGCATGTGATTTAGCTGCATGAAGTGAGTTTTATTCACAGCTGGATTCTGCTGGCAAAATTGCCAGGCATTCTGCTGGGCATGCGGGACTGCAGAATGCGAGTGACTCAGCCTGGAGTGGTCGTTGGGAAAGGAGATGCTGTTCACGCTGTTCCTTCACCATGTTGCTGACAAGCAACCTGGCAACAGAGAGAAGCTGAACAAGACACACTGCTCTCTCTCTCTCTCTCTCTCTCTCTCTCTCTCTCTCTCTCTCTCTCTCTCTCTGTGTGTGTGTGTGTGTGTGTGTGTGTGTGTGTGTGTGTGTGCACATACCCCTTCCTCACTCTATCCTTCTCAGCACTTACACTCCACTGATCACAGTCTTGAAAGAAGGCAGACATCTTGCCTAATTCAAAAAGGCATGAAGGGGAAAGGCAAGGAATGAGCTTAGAAAATGGCTGGCCCTGTAGTTGATTACCTACACTAAAAACAGGGAATAAACATCCCTTCAGAAGAGCTTACTGGCCCAGAACCACAATCCAAGCATACAAGAGATGACCGGCTCAGTCATTAACTGGGTACTCAGCCTAACTGGTTTTCTATTTCCATTCCCTCAGTCAATTTTCCTTAGCAGAAATGGGGGGAGCCATGCTCCTGCAGCAGCTGTTTGATTTAACTCCTATCTGTCCTGACCAGCATGGCCAGTGACTGGGAATGATAAACATTACATTCCAGTATGGGGGTGGGAAATGCTTCATCCCTGGTTTAGAGAAACTCTATAAATCAAAAGTAACCGTTCAAACAGTGATGAAGGTCTTCAGTGCACTGACTAGTAAATACCTGTTACATGGAAACAATAGCTGGCAATTTCCAGTGGGAAATTAACCCTTTGCTTACTGACCATTTCTCTGCTCTGAATACTCCCTCTGAATACTCTTCCACCAGGGGAATCCAAATGTGTTGACTCTCACAGACACAAATTTGGAGCCCCATGGGGAAGGGAGCTGTTCATAAGTTCTTTAGAGCAAGGAAAACCATCAACTCCTCTCCTCTTCATTCCAAATGATAGATTCCTGAAACTTCTTTTGATTAAGACACACAACTGTTGGATGTTCATTTACATGTACTTGCACATAATGTATCATTATGCCCACAGCATCATTGCAATAGCCTCTATTACTTTCAGGGACATCGGTACTTGACTATTCAGATACAAAACTTGACCTGCTAAGTGTCTCTTGCCTCACCAGGAGTGAAACAATTTTGCTAAAATAGTCAAGACTCTCAAAAGTCTTAAATTTTAAAGGACTAGTAAAAACAATGGCATCATTTTATATCACATAGTAGACAACTTCAAATTGCTATGGCAAATAGGTTCACTGAACTAACTTCACTTTTTACAGAATCACTTCTCATGGCATTCTTTTAAGTGGGACAGCTCTGCTATTAGAAAGCCTTGTGTGAAGCAGAACAGAGATAAATATAAAGCCAACTATTAACATTAAAGCTTTCTTAGCAGCCATTCTGATTTTACAGTTCTTTCTTTTGTTCATTCTCGTTCATTCATTTATTCTCTTTCTTTCTTTCTTTCTTTCTTTCTTTCTTTCTTTCTTTCTTTCTTTCTTTCTTTCTTTCTTTCTTTCTTTCTTTCTTTCTTTCTTTCTTTCTTTCCTCTCTCTGTCTTTTTCTGGGATTATTCTATTGTTCCTAGATTGTGTTTCTCATTCCTTCTATTGTGTTTCTTGAGAAATACTGAGCTTGAACTATATTTCTGTCTGACAGTTGTGTAATCTGCTGGAAGTGTTCCATACTGATTTCTAGTCTGTGTCCCAAAGGAGATTAACAACTTTTCCATATCATGGCATGTGATATTGTGTGTGTGTGGGTGGGGGGGAATCCTCCAGAATAATTGCATTTGACTCCACCATTAGGTAAGGCAAGTGAGCAAATGTCTGGTGAAATTGGTGGGATGGAGTAGATGTATAGTTTGGTATAGAACCAGGCAGTACGTTCCAATGCAACAGCAATGAATTAAAAGGGCAACATAAATTTAAAATAAAGCTGAAATCCTACAATCCTGGGGACCAGGGGCCACTCTCTGTGAGGTCTTTAATGGAACTCAACAAAGTTGCAGTCTTGAGGCAGAAGATTTAATGTCAGGGCCCAGCCTGAGCTGGTACTGGATCTCCATCTCCAAAGAGGGGCAGAAACAGGGGTGTTTGGTGGATGAGGAGAGAGAGAGAAGGATTCACTGAATCAACAATTATTTCAGCCCCAACTCTGCCTCTGGTGTGAAAGGACATTTAGATATGCCTCAGACCGTGACTAACCTAAGCGGTGGAACAATATTATGTAAAGGGCAGAAAGAAGAGAACGGTCTCTTCTGACACTCTTGCCCTGTTGACAGAGGTTCCACCATCAAAACACTTCATTCCCTGCCCCCCACTTTCCCTTTAGAAATGAAGTGTAGGGGGGAAAGGGAGAAGGAATACCCAAGAACAAAAGCCTGATATTTATTATACCCTCACCTGGCAGCACAGTAAGAAATGCACTTCGAAAGCTGTATCCCATCGTGTTCGCACCCAGGCAGATGTACATCCCAGCATCTTCTTCTTTGGCTCTTGTGATCATGAGTTTGTTCAGGTAGGAGCCATCTGGGCGAGACCAAACCTCCCCTGTGGGAAGCACTACAAATTTCTGTCCTCCAACATCGATGGTGGAATTGTATTTGTTCTCAGTGCCATACTCCACTCTCTTCAGCCACTGAATGACGGGTTTGACATCACTCCTCACCTTGCACTGAAACGAAGTTGTCCCTCCATAGTCTACAGTTGTGTTCACAGGGTGGGTCCCTGTAAGAACGGGTTTGGATCTTGTCCTCTCTAGGAAGAAAAAGGACAAGCAATCACCTTCTAACAAATGAATTCAGAAATCATTTTCCTCACAGAGGTTTTTTTTTTTAAAATAGCTTTCTATCAACAGCAAAGAAATAAAATCAAATTTCTTAAAACTTAATTCTTAAAACTTAAAAGAAGCAATAAATGAAACCCTCTGTCGACAGAAAAGTTGATCCTATCAATCAGATATCGGGGTTAAAAGTCCCTCATTCCTCCTTAATTAGAAACGTTTCAGAGAGTATGATAGTTAAAGGAATGTGGAATGCAGCACAACACAGTTCACTGGAGTTCTGATGGCAGCAAATTAAACTGGGCCTGGCATTTTCTGAAGAAAAAAAAGAAGAAGTATGGTCATAACCCCTGTGTTTCTGCACTTGAATGGTTCTGATTCAGGCCGAATATGAGGTGCGCCACTTTCAGAGGTCCAGGAGAACATGGGCATCTCTCCCTGGATGGTGGAGGACTGCAGGATCCCTTCCCGTTTCTTTGAACTTAAAGAGCCCCTGAACCCTCCAGGCTTCACGGGAGAGAATTAGAGCACAATTTAATCCTCAGACCTGTTTTAGTCTGTTGGTACTGGGTGGGAGGAGTGGTTCCCCCCCCCCCCGAAACTGTAAATGATTGGACCTATAACAGGCCACACTGGCAGGAAAAACACAGCAAAACTGCCACAGGCATTCACCAGACAGTGCAAGGGGCCTTTTAATTAGCGCACAAGATACCATGCCTTATGTACTGTATCCCTCTGAGGGGGGTGCAGTGGCTCTTTGCCGACACTGCTTGCATGAACACTGACACAAGAGCCAGAAACAATGTACACCAGTATTAGCAACTGTTGGGCTGGGGTGAATCTTAAAGACAACATCTGTGACGATGCTCACAGCATCACATGTGAAGCTGCGTATCATTTCATGCGGTGATTGACACAAAGATTTTTAAGCTGGGAGCAATGATGTTTTGATAAGCAGGTGACAAATGACCACTGCTCAGAAACAAGCTTTAAGGGGGGTGAGATAAATCCTCAACTACCCACCACCATGCTGTAAGAATACAAAGTAACTCTTCAAAACTTTTTCTGCCAAAGTCTGGCAACTTTTTAATGCTGAGCCCACCAAAGTTAATAAAAAAACAGGATATATACAACATTGGCTTGATAAAACCAAGACGACTGGGGACAGAAGAGGACTGCCTGGTTTTGATGAAGTGAAAATGCTGCTTCTGACGTTGAGATGTGGCTTGATGCGTTTTCCTGTCTCTGCTCCTGGTTTCAGTGTAAACATATGTTTTACTGCCTCTGCACAGCTGCATCTTTATCAGTCCCAGATGTCCAGCAGGTTTGTATAATCTACACACAACTGATTCCTTCCACATGTGCTTCTCATTTGCATTTTTTACACAGAAAAACCTGTCTCTGAGGCAGATTATTGCCTTCAAATGTGTGAATTTGCACGTTAGAACTAATTTTATTATGCTAGAAGCATGGGGTACAAATCAAGGTCTATTAATCAGAAGGAATGATGTTATCAGTGGACATGTCTTGGATCTAGGTGGGCAGGCCCTCAGATATACCTATAACGCTAGGTAATGCCACATACCATACCCACATAGGATATATTTTGCAATAGTGCAAAATATTGCGGTCATTATATTCCACCTGACACAAATGTTTAAACCAGGTTACAAAAGGCAACCCTATCTTCTGCAGCCTTACTTACAACAGAACAATATCACAATTCCTTTTGGGTGAGGATAGCGAATATACAATCCTGCCAAAAAAACATAAGATTTTGACTTGATGAAGGGAGGACATCAGAAGGATATCAGTGGACAGAATCAGAAGGACTAAATAAGTGAAGAGTTTAGATGGAGGGAGGTAGTGCTATGAGGTAACAGAATCCACTGAGTGATCTGGTTCCTTCACTGGATATCCAGCAACTGCCACAATTTTTAAATAATTCAAGTGATTATATCATTCATATTCAATGACTAAATAGCCGCAGACGATTAGTTATTGTGATCACTGTTGCGCTTCACAAGACGATGGTTTCCTATGAACGATTTTCGCAAGACGACGATCTTCCCCCATTGGAATGCATTAAACAGATTTGAATGCATTCCAATGGGGAACCGCATTTCGCAAGACGATGTTTTTGCAAGACAGTGTTTTTCATGGAACAAATTAGCATCGTCTTATGAGGCACTACTGTATATGTATTTTATTTGCCACCCCAAAGCTGGGTACTTAGAATCAAGCCCATTTAAATTCTTTGGGGCCTATTTCACAGTCAATATGCTTAGGAGCAGATGTTTAGGCTGCTTCCCTAGAAACACTTCCTCCCACACTCAAACCCAGTGCAATACTTACGGATCACTTCAACTTTGTAGGTAGCATTGATTTCCCCAATTCTGTTGAAGACACGACAAGTGTATTTCCCACTGTCCTCAGGCCTCAGGTTTTTCAAATTCAGAGTCCACTTCTTCCTTTTGTTCTCACCAATCTCCTGTGGGGTAAGAGGCTTATTGTCTTTTAGCCAAGTAATATCAGGTCGAGGATTCCCACTGGCTATGCATTTGAGGCGTACCGAACTGCCCACTGGTCGAGCGATCACCCTCCGTCGCATTTTGGCAGGCTGAGTAAACCGAGGTCGAGCTGCACAGATGAGGAAGAAATCAAAAGGAGGAAATCACAATGAGAACAACTCAGTGGGCCTCTGTGGCCTGGTGAGAAGGTAACAAGTGTTAGAAGTGAAAGAAGCCCACATCCTCAGACATCAGGATGTGGGTCTTAGGTCCCAGTTGAATCACAGCAGACTGCAAGGTTTTTAATGCCAGAATTCAGAGATGAAGCTGGAAGTTGACTGCCACCTTCCAGAAACATTCACTCAAGAAAGGATCACAAATACACAGAAAAATATCATCATCAGTATCATTCTCATCATCAACTAAAAGAGGATTGGTTAATGTCAGGTGAATAGGGGGCCAAAGGCTTGTCAATAGCCCCCAATATCAGACACAAAAGGCTTTTCACCACCCCCCTTTTAAAAAAAATACAGATGGTGGTCAGACAGGAAGGCACTTCCTGTTTTCCTTTTTCAGTTTTTGGGGTGGGGTAGAAGTTTTAGTAAAACGCTCGGACAACCCAAATGAAACTACCACTCCACTAAACCACATACGGCTGATGTCCTCAGCCATGTCAATGGCTGAAGTGAAAAAAATAGAGGGTGACAATGGGGGATTATCACCATTTGAATTAATCTCTAGAGTGCTTAAGGGTTCATCTGGGAGAGACTGTGTGAAGCTTTGGAGTGAGCCGTTATCAATATTTTGATAACACCTTTTCTTAACATTCAAGAGGAACAGTCTCATCTCAGTACTATTATCCGGCAGCTGTGATCAGCTGGATAAGTGATCTGATTGCAGCTGAATCCAACGTAGATGGCATGGAGGATGCAGGATCTCTGAGTTCCGCTGGAGATAGAGGGATGCGGTATTGGCCTCTAGCCAAGGGTTCCCCCACCCCTCTCGACTTGTATTCTCTGAACACAGTGATAACTAAGAATTTTCATTTATTTATTTGTTCGATTTATATCCCGCCCATCTGGTATATTCTACCACTCTAGAATGTAGTCCATCACCACCTGATCTAGTGGTTGTAGCAGAGAAATTTAGCAACTATCATTCATCCTTTTGTAATTAAGAATCTTGCGGCAACATAAAGACCAAGAATGTTTATTATGGCATAAATATGAGTATATGTGCATAAATATGGATGGGCACACACACACAAGGTGGAGGGAAGACAGAGGAAATGTACGGAGTAGGGTCAGACAGAAACGAAATGCAAAAAACACAGCCTGTGATAATTATATTAAAGACTAATGTACATTTTTAAAAAGCCCAGTGAGAAATAGCCATATGTTGATGATAACATGAATATTTTAGTATTGACAAGATAATTAACACCTGGAATAAGCCTGTCTCTCTTTTTTTTCAGTGTTGAGCAGGGAAATCAAAGAGAGTAGGTGAATTGCAAAGAAGATTATGGAAAAGATGAGGATTCCCTACAGACAGGACCTGTGGAGGGAGTAATCTTTGGAGTTAATTTCCCCCATCTGTTACTTTAGATCAGACAGGCACAAGCTATTCTTTGCACTTGCCGGCTTTATCTCATTAGATTTATTCAAGAGCAGTCTGTGGTTGGGACAGAGATGCTGAACACATAAATGTCTATTAGATTGCTGTATTACTATCAAACTTCCCAGGGGTGGGTGAGGAGTTCTGATACAGTCAAGCTAGAGCCCTGGGGAAAAGCAGATCCATTTATAAAACACCAATGCTGGTAGGCATATCAGCAATAATTAAGAGCCATTAAGGATAGTAACCCAAAATCTGCCTATAGTACTCATTTGCTTTACTGTCCTTTACTGTCTTTCTATGGTACTGGACTTTTAATTAGGGGAATCATCTAAACTGCCTGTTGTAAAGGAAAGTTGTGCAGGATGCTGTTATTCTGTTTACTCTTTCCAGTTGCCATCTTACCAAAAAAAAGCATAGTGCCAAAGAAAGCAGATTTTTCAGTGCTCAAATCTTGCTTTTTAACGGCATCTTGGGAAAAGATCAATAATCATAATCTAATTCTACATGAAGGTGATGATCTGATCGATATTATAGGAAGTGGCTAGTCGGTAAAAGTCTCAGAAACCAGATGCTCCATCTAGCTGCCTGCTCAGTTTGAGTATCTGTATCTGGGTGGCCAAGGCCCTGCAGGGATTCTATTCAGTTGCTCTTCAGGCTCCTTTTATAAAGTAGCTGGGTTGACATCAGCATCAGCACTGGAATATTTTGGTTCACTGGTCTAGGAGACTTTCAATGTCCATGCTGAGCTTACTCAGTTGGGAGTTTTTCAAAATGTCCTGTCTGTCATACTCCCATTTCAGTTAATATTTGGCCTCATGCATATGGCAGGGCATTCTCTTCATCTGGTGTTCTCTTCTGATGGAGCTGGGGTAGAAGAGTTGTGTTATCAGGGACAAAAATCACCTTCTAATTGGTTCCAGGTTGGCTGCCAGTAGAACAGTTAAAATGGCTGCCTTCATAGGTCTAATGTGAGTGAATGGTTTCTTGAACACTTTTGAGGAGTTTTGTCCCTCATGTGCCCATGGTACTATTATCTTGGCTAATCTGTGGAATGTGAAAACAGCAGTTGGAGTTCACTGTAAGCAGTGTGTTTCATGATTTACAAACAAAATAACTCAGATTCCTCTTGAGGTGCACCCAATATTGGGGCATGTCAAACTGATGTAGCTTTCTTTGGCAAATGCTTGTCTTGTTGTGTCGTGTATTCTTTTCAGATTATATATCTTGAGAAAATGGACAGAGTGTGGGCTACAAGCCATTTATATGTCCCTTGCCCTCTTTGACTAAAGATTTGGTTAAGAGAATGATTAATGCCTCCTTCCTGGAAGGCGTAGTCCTTCCCTGCTTAACTCTCATAAACAAGAATTAAAGAGGCAAGCAAACAGCCATGTTCATGGAATGCATTGTGGGGTATTTCCTAACCCTAAGAAAATTCAAATGTAGTGAAGTCTGGGTTTGGGATAGTCATATACTGTAGTTGAAACTAGGATTAGAGTTTGGCTAGTAGGATCATTGTTAAAAAAGCCCCCTTTGGATCTACAATACTGAATAAATATCGAACAGTATCTAATATCCCATTCTTGGGGAAGGTACTAGCCCAGGTTGTGGACTCCCAGCTCCAGAGGTTCCTGGATGAGGCAGAGCCTCTAGATCCATTTCATTCTGGTTTCAAACCTACTTATGGAACAGAGACATCTTTAGATGTATGCCTTGGTAGATGACCTATGCCGGGAACTGGATAAGGGTATGTGTCCCTGTTGGTTTTGTTGGACCTCTCAGTGGCTTTTGTTACCATTGACCATAGTATACTCCTGGCCCATCTCTCTGAAATGGGACTTGGGGGCACTGTTTTACAGTGGCTCCAGACCTTCCTGGAGAAGAGAACTTAGAAGGTGGTGCTGGGGGATTCCTGTTCAAAACCTTGGCCACTGACCTGTGAAGTCCCTTAGAGATCTGTTTTGTCTCCTATGTTATTTAACATCGACATGAAACCTCTGGGAGAGACTGTCCGGAGTTTTGGGTTCGGTGTCGCCATTATGTGGATGACTCCCAACTCTATCTCTCAATGCTACCTAAATCTGATGAAGCTAGATCAGTGCTCTAGATCAGTGCTTGGTATCAGTAATGGACTGGATTAGGCTGAATAAATTGAACCTTAACCCAGACAAGACAGAGATGCTGCTGGTCAGTTGAAAGGCAGATCAAGGAATAGGGTTGCAGCCGGTACTGGATGGTATTACACTCCCATTGAGAAAACAGGGGTGCACTTGGGGGTTACTTCTGGATTCATTTCTGAGCCTAGATGCCCACAGGTCTCAGCAATGGCCAGGAGTACATCTGCACAATTAAAACTAGTGTGCAAGCTACATCCATTCTTGAGAGATCTGATCTGGCCACTGTGACACATGCCCTAGTTTCTTCCCGGCTGGATTACTGTAATGCGCTCTATGTGGGCCTGCTGAAAGTGTCAGGAAACTTCAATGAGTCCACAAAATGCAGCAGCCAGCTGACTGGGGCTGGTTACAGGGATCACATAAGCCTTTTGTTACAGCAGCTCCACTGGCTGCTGATCAGTTATGGGGTACAATTTAAAGTGCTGGTTTTAACCTACAAAGCCCTAAATGGCCTGGGTCTAAGCTATCTGAAAGACCCTATCTCCCATTATGCGCTGGCTTGGATGTTAAGATCATCAGGAGAGGGCTGTCTCCAAGTCCCACCACCTTCACAAGTGTGTCTGATGGGGTCACAGGAAAGAGCCTTCTCAGCTGTTGTCCCAAGACTTTGGAACTCTCTCCCACAGACTGGTCTCCCACCACCTTCACAAGTGTGTCTGATGGGCCCACAGGAAAGAGCCTTGTCCCAAGACTTTGGAACTCTCTCCCTCAGACTGGTCCCATCTTCGCTACTGTTCCACAAGCAAGCAAAGACCTTTCTCTTCAGGCAAGCCTTTCCTCACTAACTAGCTACCTGCGTGTGATTTTCAGATAGACTGCTATGCATTACTGGTTTGACTGGATATTTAGTACTACTTGTGTTTTCCATTTTTGTGTTTTCCATTTCTCAGAGTGTACCATTCTTGGATAAGAAGACTGAAAAGACAGTGCTGCTGCACTTCCAGGCATTTCTTTGGGTGACAGTGATTATCTGGGCCCATTTCATTTGAGCTCTTGGGCAGGATTTGTGAGCGAGTCTGCTTCGGTCACCTTAATAGATGAACATTGGTGGGGACTGGATGAGGGGAAAACAGCCATATCAGTTCTCCTGACTCTCTCAGTGTCTTTCAATACCTTCACATTCTGCGTGGGGCATTTGTGGAACTGTATCGGAAGAGTTCTGGTGTTCTCTGTCAGGATGCACCCAGGAGGTGGTGCTAGTGGATCAGTGATTGCGACTATGGTGTTTGGCATATGGTGTATCATGGGGAACTATTCTGTTCCCCATGTTATTTGGTACCTATATAAAGCTGCTGGGAGAGATTATACAAGCTTTGAAGTGAGGTGGCACCAGTCTGCT